TATATATATATATATATATATATATTACCTTCTACTTACTGATTAAAATCACAGTAATGCTTAATTTTCTGGTCAAAGATTCAAATGCTTTCTAACTACAGATCACTGTTGTTCCTCTTAATGAGAGCTCAGACAGTGTAGCATTTTGCCTGTGAGGAAGTTGAATCTCCATGAACAATATGGATATCTACGTACACATTGTACTTAAACACCTCTTAAGTTTCAACACTTTAAATACTGAGATCACAAGTTGAGGCCATTTTCAAAAGTGTGAAAAAAAAGGAATCCTATCATCCTATAACAGTGTTACTCCCCACCCAAACCCTTGAAACAGCAGTACTTTGTGACTGCCCTAACTACCATCTCAACCCACATATTTCCTTCAAAATGTAACATAGACAGTGTTACATTATCTAACGTGACACTCAGAGTCTAGTTGAAATAATACAAGCTACTTTCACAGTGCTTGGATCCAAGATCCACAGATCTTTCAGAAATGCTGATGCAGCACTCCAGTGGGAAGCAAATTCTAATTTATGGTTTTGTGGTCCTAACAGGAAAAAAAAATCAAGAACCACTACAGAAAGGGATTGGGTTTTCACAACTTTGGGAGATTAAAAATTTTTTTTTTATAAAATGGAACAGTTTAAGCCTTCAATGTGTTCTGGATTGGGACACAGTAAGGATGATATCTTCAATATCTTATATTTATTCTAGATTGCATTAGGAATTTTAATAGTACCAAGAAATATGTAATGATCTACTGCCCTTATGTTTGTCCTGGGTGGCAATAAGGAACTACCAATTTAGAGTTACATTTTAAATAGATTAGCTCTTTAGCTAGAAATTATATGAGTATGTGTGTGTTTTTATGTGCTTGTTTGCTTTCATTTATTCAGATCATTTCTAAATATTGCCATATGGTAATTGAGTTGTAATGTTGTAGCCTCTCTGAAAGGAAGATGGAATATGAAACAGGTCTCTAAACAATTCAGCCCAGCTAGCATAGGCCATAAAGAGGAGGGAAGAGGAGGGAAATATTCTATTTACAATCTCTCCCCTTGGAAAAATGCCATTTCCGGGGAGGTCAGAATCCTACACTCCAGTGCCAGTCAGAATTAGAACAATCTATTCAAATGTCCTTTATGAGCCCAGAACAACTGTTGGAGCTCTGTAGAAATTGTGTGGATCAGCAAGTATTTGGAATAAAACAGCTGTGCCTGGTGGTTGCTTTACTCAGTTAACACCGTTAATGGCTCAAACACAGAGGAAACAGGAGCCTGGGAAACACCTTCCCTTTCTTACTTGAAGGCCTCCTCCAGCGTTCAGACTTGAAATGGCTCTTTTCTGCACAAGTTTACCAGAGGGGGTGTTCGGGGGCAGTGTGTAGGAGGTGCAGGTTCATGGTTGTGGGGGGAGTGCTGTGAGTGTTTTTCTACCCTTTCTCACTGCTTATATCCTTCCCTTATCCCCACCCCACCCTGGAAAAATCAGACAAGATATGGGGAGGGGGGTTGTCTGTTTGTTTTTAGCAAAAAGGATGGGCAAAGAAGACATATTGTAAAATTTTGCTTGTTTCCTTTACATTCTTTACATCTCACAGTGGGGCCACTGAGTTCCCCAAAGTCTGACTGGCTTCAAAAGTTCCAGTCATCCTAAAACAAAACAAAACACAGAGAGGTCTTGTTGCTTTTGAAACAGCAACCTCTTGGTTGCTGTTGCAGAGCCGTGAAATCAGCAATCCAAAAACAACAGCTGGGGAGAAGAAAGGGGCAAGGAAGCTGGGGTAGGCCAGGGCTTCTGTTCCAGGAAGATTTTTGAAGAGCCCCTTTGTATATATACCAGTCATTCTGGGTGATAAAATGCTATCTGCAATAAAAGGCATTCTCCCATGGCGTCTGCATGCTAATCAGCTCCTGATCTACATTCTCTGGGCACAGAAGGAGGGTGGAAACCTCTCTCCAAACCCAGTCCAATTCTTTTCAGTACCTGCTGATAAATATTTCAGCTGGAAGACCTGATTAAGTAGTACTTGCTAACTGGCACCAAAAGCCTTAATGCAACTTCTAGAAACAAACAAACAAACAAACAAACAAAAAAGCAGTAGGCCACTCCTTGCTTAACAAGGTGGCTATGTAACTGAGTCTAAGCTCATTCTGTTCACAGCATAACAGTCCAGTAAGTCAAGAGGCAAGATGTTGGGGTAAGAAAAGTGACTTTGTTCAGAAAGCCAGCAAACCAAGGAGATGGCAGAATATTGACCCAAAGAACCATCTCCCTGAGCATAAGATTTGAGTTTCTTTTGTGTTAGCAGAAGTGGGCAGTGGGAAGGACTTAGAGTCAAAAGGTCACTGACATTTGTGGACTTTCAGGGAAATTCCTGTAACTTCTTTGTCCTTGATCAGTTGATCTTTGCACACAAGAACATTGTTGTGTCCTTCCTGTAAATCTTAAACATAATATAGTCATTCTGTACTTACCTCTCCTCAGGTGAGGTAGGTTTTGAGTGAAAGGTGGCTTTTGGAAATCTAAGCTATAAGCAAAATTCCTTTAATGATTAACATGCGCACATGCAGGTCTAAGCAGAAGTTTCTAAGTTGCAGGTCACAGCAGCAAAGGAAATAGAAACAATATGGAGCCAGTCATGCTAAGTTCCCCCCTATTATAGCTACTCCCCCTCACCTAGCCAACCAGGTCTCCCAGGAGGACCCTGCAGACCTGTTTGCTGCCTTTAACCATTTCCTTCTCATGGCTTTTGTGACAGGCCTCCGTGAACTGACTGGAGAATTGGGCAACCGTGCCTCTAGTTCTGTCATTACTACAAGGGCAACAAGGACCAAAAAAAGTGCTTATCCTTCAAAGTGAAGTTATTTGGACAGGTGTCTGTCAATTTATATAAGAACAGTCCACCAATGGAAATAAAATGGCTGTGAATCAAAAGAGAGTGATAGAAACAGAGATCATCTTTTCTTCCTCTCACCCAATGTATTTTTAGCAAAAATCACCATCTACCCACTCACATTCAAACACATTAACCTTGCAATCTGCAAGCCTCATGTTTTCTCTTGGAAATTAAAATGAAGTGTGCTTGGGGGAGTGTATTTGTGCCCTACTCTCTTTCCATATGCTTGTTTCTCTTTTCTTCCTGTTTCCTCTCCAATGTGTCCTTTCTTGGACAATGTACTTAGAAGGTAAGAACATAGACTGAAATATTCCCAAGTCAAGGATTGTTTGCAGGGATCTAAGACCATTCATGGAAAGTAGACATACTAGATTTAGTGCTTTTTAAAAAAATTTTTATGTTTATTTATTTATGAAACAGAAACAGAGCATGCGTAGGGGAGGGGAAGAGAGAGAGGGAGACACAGAATCAGAAGCAGGCACCAGGCTCTGAGCTGTCAGCACAGAGTCTGACCCAGGGCTCAAACTCACAAACTGTGAGATCATGACCTGAGCTGAAGTCGGTCGCTCAACTGACTGAGCCACCCAGGCACCCCTAGTGCTTTTTTTTTAAGTAAAGATACATAAGATGAGTATAGCATTAAGAAGGTACTAAAATCAATCTATGAACATAAGCATGTACTATACTCAGCATAAATCAAACTTAACTAACAGTTATCTCAGATTCTGCTTCTTTTCTTCCTGGGTTTGCTATCTCTGCAAACGGAACCATCACCTGCCCAGCTGCAAAGTTGCACCCATGCTAGTCACCATGGTTTTATACTTCTCACCTTCTACATTGAGTTATTCAGCAAAGACTACCTTCTAAATATCTCAATTGTGTTCCTTCAATGTCATCTCACAGTAGAACAGACTAATATTTCCATATTAGACAATGATCCCAGGCATCATTGATAGCCCCATTCAAGTTATTGTTTATTGTGTGCTCAGTGCTATATGGGTGTCTTAGCCACTTTGGGATACTGTAACAGAATACCACATATGGGTGGCTTAAACAACAAATGCTTATTTCTCATATTATAGAACCTGCAAGTTCAAGATCAAGGTGCAAGCATGCTCTGGTTCTTGGTGAGGGCTCTCTTCCTGGTTTATAGATGGCCACTTTCTTTTTGTACCTTCAAATAGCAAGGAGAGTGAGAGTGCACTATCTTTCTTTCTCTTCTAATAAGGATACAAAACCTATCTTGGGGACTCCACCCTCTGACCTAATTACTTCTCAAAAGCCTCACCTCCAAATACCATCATATTAGATTTTGAGGAAGCAAAATATGCAGTCCAAAGCAATTTACAAAAAGTAGATAGTACCTTTATCTTGATACAGCCTGTATTTGTTTAATGGGGCTCCCATAACAATGTACCATGGACTGGGTAGCTTAAAAAACAGAAATTTTATTTTCTCACATTTCTAGAGGCTACTAGTCTGAATTGAAGACATTGACAGGGTTGGTTTCTTCTGAGGCCTCTCTGCTGGCTTTGTACATGGCCATCTTCTCTCTGCTTTCCATGATCTTCCCTCCATATTTGTCTGTGTCCTAACTTCTTCTTATAAAGATAATAGTCATATTATATTAGGGCTCACTTTAATGATGTCATTTAACCTTAACTACCCCTTTTTATAAGCTGGCAGAGGGAGAGTAAAGTATGTCCAAACTGAGAAGGCACCTTGCAACCAGAAAACAAAGCAGGTGACTCTATATAGTTTATACATACTTTTGTTTAGGGCAACTTACTGATGGGAGAATTGGGCAGGTGACGATCCAGGCACTACATAGCTATTCTCCACAAAGTCTGGACTTGAGTCCACAGATTTTATAGAGTGAGAGGATGTGCAGAAAGCCTTGTGATGAGGTCAAAAAGTTTAACAGACCTCATGCTGTCACCTGTGACTGAAGGTAGGGAGAGAAACTATTTTATCTTTCCAGTTACCTAAACAACTTCAGGAAGGACCAGAACAAGGCTGCCCACATTCTAGTCAAGACATACATTAACATGCACAGGACCTGAAACATGTAACCCCAAGGAAATCATTGCACGGGCACAAGCAAAATGGAGGGTCAGAGATGGAGTCAGTATTGTTAGCATTCCTACACCTCTTTCAGGGTCTTATCTCCAAATACATTCAAATTCTGAGGTACTGGGAGCTAACATTTCAACCTATAAATGAGGGTGCAGAAGACTTGATTCAGCCCAAGGCCCATTCACATCCTTTACCTTTTCATTGTTGCCATTGTCACAAGTCTTCAAGACAATATCTGAGGATCAAGGAAAGTATTATTATTGGACTGATGGAAAACTGGGACCCAGACAGCTTGAGTGATGCTTGAAGTTACCAGGTTGTTGACAGCCAGAGCCCAGACTTGACTATTCTTTCTTCTCAAAAGAATGCCATCTTCCTTCACTGCAGAGTAAAATTCTGTTGCTGTGATTATACCGTACTCCACACAATTGCCTACATTATACTCTTCACTTCAAATGCCTTCAAGTACCCTATTATTTTTAATTCTAATTCTTCAGTGTTCTTTGGTTTTCTCTATTAATTTCACTTTTCTTTTTTCTATTTGATGTTCATAGACTCTTTCCATCCTTACACATCAAATTTCAAATGGAGCATAAAGCCATCACTTTATCTGCTGTACCGTTATTGTTGGGACAGCAGCTGATCATCACAGTGTGCTACCCATTGAGAAAGGCTACACCCTACTGCTTAATAAACTTGTAATCTAGGCTGCCATTAATCCTCCTAGCTCCAGGAGGAGGAAGAGGAAATGACATGCATTATGATTTCCATTTCTTGAATGGAGAAAAAAACACAGAAATTTTACTTAATTTATCTATGACTATGTTCCCCAGCCAAGGTGCCAGCCAGTTTGGAGGTATAGTAATTTTATTACTGGGGTGCCTGGAGGTGAAACTGACAGTGATTTGGAACAGAGAGAGACTGCCTGGTACTCACACAGTTGGGATGGACAGATAATTGGAAAATAGCTATGAAAGCCTCACCTAATAACTAATATAATAAACATTATAAACTAATGTGTACTCACTTGAGTCAGGCATTATGCTAAACTCTTTATTTCCTTTCTCACTAACCCTTCTAATACCCTGATGAGGTAGTTTACTCTAGTTCAACATACTATTATTATTAACCAGAATATAAACTTCCTGAAGGAAAAGACTATTTGGTTGTCTTCACCACTTTAGAGATCTCTCTGCTCTGGATCACTGTCAGTTTCATCTTTAGAGTCTGGTGCAAAATGAGAAATAGAATGAAGAAACCTAAGCCATTGTAAGATACCAATAATAAAATTACAGTACCCCAAACAGACTGACACCTTGCTGGGCAACATAGCCTTAGATAACTTACCTTAGATAAATCCCTTGCACATAGCAGTGTATAACAGGTTGTAGGTGCTCAGGAAATGTTTGTTGATGATATGAACAAATGAATGAATGACTACTTTGTGCAGGTGAGAAAGCAATAAGACATCACTCATGTCAAAAAGCAATTCACTGTTATGGAAGGTATGGATGATTATTGCCTATAGGTGTAGAGAAAAAGTCAAGATTTAATTTAGTATATCCTAATTTCTAGCTTAATTATCCATCTTATTTCTAATACCTATGTTTTTAAAATCACCATATGAGTGAATAGCAGGCTTACAATGAAAATTTGAAATAATTCAGGACCTTCATTCTTAGAGAAAAGGGAATATGGCCAAATTTTACACAGAAAGGAGGCAACCTATTTAGTAAATCTGCCTCCTGTTCAGCCAAGTATTCTTTCCCAAAGTAAGAACTAATCACCAATTCCTGTACAATTAATTCTGTACCAGGAATCCTAGGGACACTTTGAGAATTTCAAAAAACATTTGCAAAACTTTCTAGTTGAATCTAGAACATCTCAGAAAGGAAAATATCATAACAGAGACAAAAATCCACAGCAGGGGTAGGGTGTCCTTTTGAGACATGATAGCAAGTAGATTACTGCATGGCAATTAAATGTAATGAGGAAGAATTTAAAATTCCCTGTGTGCACTGAGGAATAAACATCTCAAGATGTGGTAACCATGCTGAGAACAAAGTCAAATGCCAAGCCAGCATCTCTCCATTCACTTTTATTCTTCAACAAGATTCTCTAACTCAGGGTAATATACAAAACAGTTAACACTACAGCACTGAATAACATTACAACACTGAATAATGAGCAATCAGAACTCATTCTGCCCATATATAAAACAAAACAGAACAAGTCTGGCCATTTAGGTTCATGTTGACTGAATATCAGACACCTGATAGACCTGTTTCAGCTCCTTCTCTCTTTATTTCCATTTCCAGGCATGTATCCTGACTCCCTGGCTCCCTGGCTCCCTGATTCCCTTGATGACACCATAGAACCTCTCTTAGTGTGATGAGAAAAGACCTCTGCTCTGGGAGTCATAGGGCTTGGGTTTCAGTCTTACTGCTATGAGTTCTATGACCTTAGGAAAATCATTTCATTGTCCTGTGCTCCACTTGCTCCTTTGGTAAAGTAAGGAGATCAAGCTGGTGTTTCCCAAGAAGAGTGCTATGGGCATTGGTGGGCAAGGAGCATTTGTTTATGGTGTAGGTATGACCCACGCATGGCAGGATGTTTAGCATCCATGACCTCTGGGCATTAAATGCCAGTAGCAGGCATTGTGATAACCCTAAATTTCCCACAAATCTCCACTGAAAATAACTGGGCTATATGGTTTCTAAGGCCTTTTCTAATGTTAACTTTTCAATATTTCTTACATGCATGGTAAGAGCTCTATGCCGATGAAGTCAGTTTTATTTTACACTGAACTGTGGTTTTTGCTGGTTCCCCACGATGACAAGCTTACCGATGCACAAGTAGAACATTTTTTAATGGCTCCCTTACATAG